TGAAACTTCCGAGAAACGTAAAATCCAGGGCTCCCTCTTCCTCATCCTAGCCTGTCCTTGCAACGCCCTTGACCCCCTCATTCCCTTCCTCTCCCCCATGTTACTTGCAGCCCAGGTTTTGGGGCCCTGACTTTGATGGGAGAAGGAGAAAAGGCTGTACAGATTGCATGAGGAAACACCAGCCCCTCTTTTCTCTGGTCCCCATTTCTCCTGTGTGCAGCACTGACCTGCCCTGTTTCCACTTTTCCTCCACGCCACGCAGCGCCCTGTCCCCTCTGCCCTGATGCCTCTTCCTGAACCCCAGTCAGCTTTGGTGCTCTCCCCACCGAACAGGACAGTGAGGTGAGATTGCACCTGGTTCCTCTGCTGCTGAAGCTGGAGGATTGGAAAAGGTCTGGAGAGTCTCTTGGGGATTATGTCACATGGACCGGAAGTGTCAGTTCCTCAGATCAAAGGACATTCACTCTCTTCATCTGTCCTGCACACTGACACTGAACTCAGTGTGTCCTTTGCGCCCCCTGCTGGTCTCGAGCATCGCAACAGGGAGGTTTAGGTCTGGGCTCCCACTGACGCCCTCTCACTGTGTCTCTTGCACAGTAATACACAGCCGTGTCCTCGGTTTTCATTTGGGTCATTTGCAGAGACAGCGTGCTCTTGGGGTCATCCCTGAAGATGGTGAATCGGCCTTTCACAGATGTAGCATATTCCGTGGCATAAGTACTAGCCTGGTTTTTAATAAGCCCAACCCACTCGAGTCCCTTTCCTGGAGCTTGTCAGATCCAATGCATCCAAGAGTTACTGAAGGTGAATCCTGAGGCTGCACAGGAGAGTCTCAGGGACCCGCCAGGCTGCACCAAGCCTCCCCCGGACTCCACCAGCTGCACCTCAGCCTGGACACCTGCAAGCACAGACACATCCTGCTCAGTAAACATCACACATGTCCACTGTGTATCCCACTCAAGCCAGTCACACACTCAGTGTCTCTTGCTTCTTATGCATCACCTTTTAACTTAGTGATAAATACAACCCAGCTCAACACCAGCTCCATGGTGTGCTGTGTGTGCTCCGTCCTGATCACCAAGGGGAGACAGCTGCTGCCCAGAGCGGGGTGTCTCTCCAGAGCTGCAGGGTGAGAGCTGGATGGTTTAAAGTGGGAGACAGGGGCCTGATTTGCATCTCCTCCTGCTATCTAGAGACCTCCATGGACAGGAAGCAGCAGAATTTCAAGCCAGATTAGATGTGAATTTATAGGTGTTATGGGTCAGTCAGCAAGGAACCAGATCAAAGATCTAATTAAGATTTGAGTGGAGCCTTTATTACTGAGTGCAGGCCATCAGCCATTTCTCACGCAGGAGAAGACTGATCGGCAATAGAACGTAGGTAGCAGGGGGGTGTTTATAACAGAAATCACGTCCAGTTTGGTAAGCGAATTTGTTTTCCAGCACAGAACAACAGAAAACTGCCTTTATTTGACAGAGCTGCAAACTGCGTCATTAAAGGTTTTTTACAGTTTATTGTTAAGCACATATTTTTATAAATGCATTTTAAGCTGACTATGTTTACAGGAGATGGTTAGGGAAGGAGTTTGTTTTAGCTCACTGCCTTGACAAGAAACAGTTACTGCTAAGCAGCCTCTAAGAAGGAATGAGAACTCAGTCTTAGAGGACATAACAGGAAGCCCAAGTTTTTTTCTAATAATTTCCCACAGTTAAAGCACAAAATTCAGTTAACCCATTTAGTCGGTCACATGTATGGAAAGCAATATTATAAATAAGAATTTTATGTATTTTTTATTCACTTATAATTCATAATCTTAATTTACTTTTATGCATTCAAACAATTCATGAAGGGCCAGCCAAATAGCTCAGTGGATTAAAGCACCTGTTTGGGCAAGTGCAGGGGTGGACGTTCTATCCCTGGACCTGCCGAGCATACCCCTCCTGCAGGGCTCACTGAGAGGGCAATTGAGACTCGGCATGATGGTGTCCCCCTGTAGAGGCAGCTCCTGGGAGGCTGTAAACAGGAGGATCACTACAAGTCTCATCTATGCAGTGACCCTCTGTACTCCCTGTCCTAAATACTAATAAATAAATAAATAAATAAATAAATAAATAAATAAAGTAATACATGAGATCAGTGTCTTTGTTTGCTCCATTGCATAAATGCAAAATTCCTCACGGAAGCACAAGGGAGCGACAGTGTGATCAAGAGTTCAGAGCTGGTGTTCCCAAGGCCAGTGGAGCCAGGTCCTCCTCACGATCTCCAGGACAGATGTGGGCGTCTATAGTGAGACTTGGAGCCCTTTGCTGTATTACAATTATGTTTCTATTTTTCTAACTCCAGTGTTACCAGTGCTTCAGGGGTGACCCACCTATGCACATCAGGGTCTCATGCAATGAAAAAAGCTGTAGGCCGCCTGCGAGACTTTCTTCTTTCTTTTTTTATTAAATCTATTGAAGATCAATAATTGCACATCATATTAAAAATTGTAGACAAATATTGAAATGTGAAAGATATAAGATGTAGAAGAGTGATTGCTATTTTCTTTTTAATTTTTTTCCTAACCCTAATCTAACCCTAAAGAAGAGTGATTTTTAGAGAAATATTCCTGAAATGAACACATCGCAAGAGATTAATAGATTGCACACCATAAATAAATTATTAACAAACTTAATTGAATAATCAAAACGGTCCAAAATAAAAATGAAGAAGAAAGAAATCACAGATCAGTCATGCAGTAGTTCGCTCTGTGTCAAAATCAAGAAGCTTATACTCATATAATTAGAATCCTCAAAGTAGAAAGGGGTAGGCAATGAATACTTAAAGATTTAAAATTCCTGAATTTAGTTGATCTTATAACACCACATTTCCAAGAACAATGAAGGTTTTGCACAAGAACTTTGAATAAGATTATACCAAGATACACAAAAAATGTAATTGTCCAAAGCTTATTTTAAAGAAAAAAATCATTAAAGCATATACATAAAATATATTAGCTATGGAAGAACAAAATTAA